GCAGCCAAGCAGCTCTTGAGGAAACCTGCACCCCACAACAGCAGCAGCCCCTCAGCATTGCCAGCGACCCGGCTGCTTTTTGTCAAAGCTTTCCCAGTCCAAAGCACTGGCCCCTGTGGGCTTTGCAGCTTCTACCCTCTGCACTGTTTTAAGCTGCTTACCAGAGGGTTTTCTTGGCTGCAGTGCTTTATCTTTACTCAAGTGCACTTCTTTGCCTTCCAAGGTAAAAGTCTTAAAAATAAAGACTAACATTTCCAGATGCCAAAGACATACTCTCTGAAAGTCTTTTCTTTCTAAAAACCTGCTGCTTTCATCCAGTTTTTCTTCACTAAACCCAGAAACTGCATTCTGGGGCTTCTGTTGCTTTTGGAAAACAACATTTCTTTTCCCTCCAGCTACATTTTAAAAGGCTCGCTTTAACCTTTCACTGAATATACTGACAGCCAGGGTCAGTTCCTCAGAAATTACTTCAATGTATCTTCATTTAAATATAGCCCTCCCAGGTTCCCTGTTTCCAATTGCCACTCTAAACCCAAACTTCAGCCTCAGTAATTGGGATGTATAAAAAGAAAAATAAAAATGCTCAGCGACATAAGTTACACTTACAGCTTCCCCACAGCATTTCTGGGCTGCGTTTCCACATGGCTGCTCAGATCAAACTCACTTTGTTGGCTCCTATTTCTTCTGCCCTTGTGCAGCTCTCCAAAGCAGGACCTTCAAGTCCTGCCAGCACCACAGCAAATGTGCTAGAACCTTCCCCAGCAAGAGCCAGCCCTGCTCTAAAGAAGTCATTAGTGCAGAGCTAATTAATAAGAGCAAAAAGATTGGCCCAGCCCTGCCAATTGGAAGTTGCAATGAAGACAGCAGTGGCTTAATTAGCAGATTTGCTTAGAGGGGGGAAAAGAAAGGAGAAAATAATTTTTAAAAAAGCTTTTTTTTTTAAAGGAGTACATCAAAACTGACTGGTTTTTTTTCCTCCGACTTTTATTCCTCACAGATTTGCAAGCTATTCATGCCTAGAAGTGGTGTCAGACACCAGACCTCCAGGCTTAGCACATGCTGTGTGCTGGGATGGCAGCAGCCGCATTAACCAGCATGGGACAGACGAAGACCTCAGCTGAGCAAACCCAACCTGCAAGCCTGCAGGCCACATCCTCTGTTTGGGGACTCTCTTCTCCCTCCCTCAGCACCACTAGACCAGGGTGTGCAGCAAGGTGCTGAACCCGGGCCAGACTGAGAGGGACCCCAAAGAGGAACCTTCCCTGCCTCCCCCAACTCATGGCCTGCGAGAAGATGCTGTAGAGTCAAAAAGTCTGACCACAGCCCAGAGCATGACTAGCGGGGAAGTACAGACATATGGACACCATCTGTCCACACAGTGTTTTCTTCTAATCAAATGCTATCCCCACAATGGGCTCTTACTTCAAGTTGTTGTTGCCTGCAGTGGCCATAGCAGAGACTGGTGAGCTCCAGGCAATGGAGACAGCAACCACTGTCATGGATTTGAACCTTCTCCCCTGCTGTTCCCATAGTCACTGCAGCAGAGCTGGTGAGGACCCCACAGGACAAGGGGCAATGGGTGCAAGCTGGAGCATAGGAGGTTTAACCTGAACATAAGGAAAAACTTTTTTACTGTGAGGGTGACAGAGCACTGAACAGGCTGCCCAGAGAGGTTGTGGAGTCTCCTTCTCTGGAGACATTCAAAACCCACCTGGACGTGTTCCTGTGTGACCTGGTCTGGTGATCCTGCTCTGGCAGGGGTTGGACTGGATGAGCTTTCGAGGTCCCTTCCAATTCCTAATATTCTGTGATTCTGTGACATACATGAAAGCTGTGTAGATTATCCCATAGGTGATCCCCCAGCTTCCATGGCCAGTCCCACTTTGCTAATGCCCCAGGATGGTAACCAATTCAGTCTGGTTTTTAAAGCTTAAATCTCAATCCAGCTGAAACACGAGCAAAAGCCTCCTCAGCAAGGGTGCAATCAGTGCGGTGAAATGATGGGCTTCGCTCTGCCATGCACTGCCAATCTGTCCCGCAGCCACTTGAAGGCTCCAGTTTTCCCAGCTGAGTAGAAAGTAAGGTTAGTGCTGCAGAGCTGTCGTTACAGCAGCATTTACAGGGCTTGAGGATAAGAGGGAAGATTTTGGACTTTCCAGGACTGCTCTGAGCTCCCATCAGCCCTGCCAGCGTGGAGCTGGGCTCGTCCCCTGTGCCAGCCACAAACATGCCCATGCAGCCCACAGCATCCAAACCACCCTCATCCTCAGGGGCAGCTCTAAGCACAACACAGGAATACATCTGAGCAGCTAAACAGCCACAGCCTGCTTCCCAGCTCTTTGATGCCACAGTTAAGGGAACAGGGACAGCAAGTCCTGCTGGTGCCTCTGAGGATGGGATAAGGAGTGTGGGGACAGCTTGTTCCTGCAGAGAAGAACTGGAGAAAAATTCTGTACCCAGCAGCAGCAATGTTCTCCCCTACAGCCCTTCTGTCTCACTAGAAGCAGCAGAAGGTGAAATCCACCCTTCATCTCTTCTTCTTCACTGTTTTTAGTGTCCCCACAGCCTTTCCACAGAGATCACAGGATATTTACCTCTGCCACTCAGAAACACGGAGGTTTCACCTACCTCCCATGGGTACCAGAAGGGACTGCCGAGTTTCTAAGATGTGGCTGTGCTCTGTTCTGTGCCTCTCACCTGCAACTTTTGTAAAAGATAAATGGGCAGCACTGGTGGGACTGGGCAGCCCAGCCTCATCCATACAAAACCCAGCCAGACAGCACCATGCTCACTGCATGCTGAGGCCCTAAATGAAGCACCCTGGGGCTGCATGGTGCAGGTCTCGATTGCCAAGCAGATTCCACCACAAAAGCTGCTGGTTTTTGTAGGTTGTCATAATGAGGATCAATAGACAACTCCAAAAAAAATGACTGAGGATCCTCTATGCACATTGATCAGGGAAACACAGATTTACAAGTCAGTGGTATGAGGGTTTGTGGGGCCAGGATAGAAAAATTCCCCTGCAGGCTGGTGTTCTGGGCATTTTCCCACCACTGGAAATGCTGCAGTACTTCTTCGGACAGCTGAGACAGCACTCCAGTCATTTCAGCACCTGGGGAATAACTAACTCCTGTTCAAATGCCTTAGGATGTGGCATAAAAAATACAATTGCTAGTGGTAAATTATAAAGTTTATTAATATAGTCTCCAAGGGTCATTCAAACATGCTGAATCACAGGCAGCATTAGTACCCCTTAGGTAATCTGCATTTTTGATTTATACTTGCAGCATTCTTGTGGCTTACTTTTTCTCTTGATTATATAAAAGCAATAAGAACTGTATTTGCTGATTTTTTTCTTCTTTTTCTTTTTTTCTGGCAATTACAACTTAGGCAGCATTCTATGTTATTTCTCCTCTCTTCTGTTCCTCACAGTATTCAAGGAAGACCATTAGTAAAAACAAAGAAAAACAAATTCAATTCTGTAACTTGGTATCAGTAAGAAGGCAGATGCCAGAAAAAATACTAATACATAAAGCACTTCTCAAAGAAGCTTCTTTATGCAGTGAGTTTTAAAGGTGGCACAGCAAAATTTGAACGAAGATTTTACATTTTCACAGCTGAAGCTTTGGCCTTTGTTTACATCCACTGATATTTTGAGAGCTCATAAACATCTCTCAGTGCAGCATGAAAGAGGCCCTTTTTGTTTTCCATGGCATCTACAGATGATGTAGGAGCCCTTCACAGGGAAAAAATGTTGTTTTCTCCTTCGGCACCACTAAAAACTTTTTCAAGGTCTTCCACTGGTCCAAGGCTGTAGTGAGAAGCACAGATCATTATGGGTGGGGCAAAAGCACATTTCTGCTTCAGAGCATCCTTTCTTATTGCATTGTCAGCAAATTCCCATTGAAACATAGACCAGAAACTACTGAGTCCACTGACTTCAATGGTGTAATGCCTATGTTTTACACCAGGGAAGCATTTACCTTGCTTGCATTCTTCTAATGGATAGGAAAGGGTTGTTCAGATCTTATAATGGCAGCTGGGGTAACCACCATGGGATTCAGAAAAGAGTCCCTCCTTGCCCCAAAATCCTTATGTCCTAGGTGGGGTGTTCAGTGGGTAGACCATCTACCAGTGAAAAATTATTGGTCTTCAGCAAAGGGATGATACTTCCCTGGAGTACTCTGTGGCTTGTCTAGAGAAAATCTTTTTTTTAGTTTGCTGTTTTTCAAGATAAGCCAGAAGACATGAATTTACAAGTCACACCTGCACAAGGTGACTCATCATACTTCCATATTTCATATCTGCCTAAAAATTATCACCTCAGTGATCACCTCAAATACTTCAGTGTGACCCAAGGAGTGTGTGAGATGGGGCAATGGTTCCACAAGAGCTGCAAGATTTTTCTAGCGGTGGAAAGCTTGGTTTGCAGCACCCTTTAAGGGACCCTTTCTTTGTGTATTGGCATGAATTGCCACTCCATGGAGGACTGTCCATAAAACCCTGATCCCTTTCCGAGCAATCATTTTGCCAGTTGGTCATCATAACCATTTATCTCTTAATTTCTTTAAAATAACCCCACTAGGGTCATGCCCTGGTATTTGATGAAAGAATAAAGCAGATTAGGTACTTCCTTAAGCTAGGGTCACTACACAGCAGTAAGTACCAGTTGATGAGATTCTCCAGTGCTCTGGATGCCTGTTCATTACTGCATAGACACAATATCCAGGATCCACTCTGATTTCTGGGGTGAAGTTATCTGAAGCTTACTTGTAATACAACTTTGGTAGTCAGCACCACAAACCGATACTACACTCATTACAATCAGTGGCCAATACCTTTCTGCCTCCAAGAAAAATTACACTGGAACTTTTAATAGGAAATTACAAAATGGATTACCTTTTTGTTATAAACTTCTTTGTGTGTTTACCTAGAAGCAAAATAATATTAATGTTACAATGACAAAAAATAAATCTATAATTATAATGAATCTATCAAATGAGTTCAGAAGCAAAGACAGCAAGTTGAAAATTTCTGTTGGCTAAGCAGTAAAGAAAGGATCTTATTCTGATTTAAGTTACACCGTCTGTCAGGAGCTATTCCAGGAAACTACAGGACTGCAGTACTACAAAGCAAAAGCTAACAAGATGACCCAGAGCTGCAACAAGCAAGTGAACAGGTTTTTTACATAGGCTTCCTCCTGCTGCATCCCCACCAACTTATGCTCCCTGGTCTCGTGGTGACATAGTCCTGGAGTAAGGACAGCAACCCCCTATAAAAGGGACCATGGCAGATTTACCAGGAGATTAACCAGAGATCCAGAAGGACATCTGCACTAGGCCAACATTACAAACATGAATCAATTATGTGCTTAGGGATACTTACGTTTCCAAAACAACAATGCGAGCATCGATATGAGAAGAATGGACACCACTAAGAGACAGGCAATGAGAATGGCATAGCTGGGAAACTGGAAGGGAGAAGAGAAAAACTGAAGGGCTTTAGAAGCACATTTTCTTCAGACCTAGTAATTCAGCACAGGGTTGTCCTACTGACAAAGAGCTCTGAAATATCTGCACTGGGCTGGAGTTTGCAGCACTTTTCTGAGCTTGCCTGTACAAAGTATGGAGAAGACACATCAGGTTGATCATGATAACATAAATTATCTGTTAAGTATTTAATAAATCTTATTCTGAAACATTTGGGCCTAGATTCATCCCACTTAACATGAATTACTTTGTAAAGTGTCTAAAATAGGAGCTTAGTCACCCTTACCCTTCTCTTAAATGGGGACAGGGAAGTGTAACAACCCTCCTAAGCTGCCTTTCGCTGGTCATACCCAAGGGATGCTATGTCTGCCTCTCTTACAGCAGGTTTTTCTGAAGTGTCCAAGCCAGATGGGATGGTCACAGGCTTTGGCTCTATCCACTGAAGAGATGAATAGCTACTTCCTGAGCTTCTAAACAAAAAGCCAAGCTACTGTCTGCAGACACTGTCCCTTTAGTATGAGAACATTGAAAATCACTAGCATGTCTAACCATCCTTCTGGCTTCTAGTTAAACACTCTTGAAACTTAGAGGAAGTTTTACCTTATCACTGATATCATCATATTTCTCAGTGTTGCCATCTGAACTTGCTGGAATCTCTGAAAATAAAAGAAAATGAAATTATTACTGGCACAGGCACCTGGAGGAGTGAGGGCCACTGTGCCTGTCACTGATTTAGTCAAGGAGTAATAAACTCTCAGGGAATGAGGAGGGCAAAATCTGGTCCTGAATAGGGGAATTAAAGCACCTTGCAACCAGAAGGGAACAATTTGTTTCAGCCACAATTGGTATATCAGGCAATCATTGGGAAATGTCTGTCTTCATCAAGGAAAGAGAAAGCTTTCCACAGGTAGTCCATGAAGCAAAACCATAGAAATTTGTCCAATGGTCCTACTTTCTTACTTTTGCTAGTGAATTTAATTTCCAAAAAGTTAATCCAGGCTTGGAGCTTGGCTCATCATGACCTCATGCTACAAAGTATTGAAGTATTTAAGTTTCTGGAACACCTGAACCACCACAGGAAGCACTCAATGTTTAGCAGCATCTTAAAAACAGAGGAGTGATTCAGCTAAGTGAATCAAAACCTCAGCTTACATCCTGCGACAGGAGAGCTCCTATGCCTTAGGTCGTGCCCTAGTGTATAGAAAGACTGCGATGAGTTGTGCTTTCAAAGGTCTGACAAGAGAACTATGCAGTCTCCATCTGAGCAAAATGTACCAAGGACCAGATGAGTCATTTGGCGGGGCATGTATATGTAACACGCTTGTGGTGCCCAAGACCACTGCCAAAGGAAACTGTATGTATGAGACACCCAGAATGTCACATGGTGATGGGGGTGATCAAAGGGTCACAAACAACCTCATTAGGAAAAAAAATGCTTTTTTGCTTTTTTTCTTTTTTTTTTAAACTTTTCAGAGCATGTTATTCAGTGAATAATCTAACCTCCCCCAGATTTATCATTTCTGATCAGCTCTCTCTGAGAGCAGAATTGATTTGTCTCCATGCACTCAATAATGTGCTTCCATTTTATCAAAGGTGTGGACAGGGCACAGGTAGATCAAATCCTGTAGGTAGAAATTTGCACTGGAGTAGAAAAGATATTATGGCTAATAAGAACTACAGCTAAACAAATATAGGTAATAAAACCCTAGCTAGTGCTAGAAATCCCAAGCATGCATGCGCATTGCATTTTGCTATATGCCTGTTTTATGACACCTCTTTTTCCCCTCTCAAGAAGAGAACTGTAGTTCAGCAGAACTACCCCCAGATACACAAGATGTGCATTTCTCACTCTGACATGCATGTCCCACAAGTAAAAATTAAACTTTGTGGCACCATGCTGAAGCCCGACTGATGGAAGCAACCATTGCTGCTCACTTTCTGTACCTGAAGGAATGAGGGTGCTCCTCGGGGTCTGAACCATGGTTGGTGCTGGTGGGGTTGTTGCCGGGGGAAAGCAGGCAAAGACAGAAGAGAAACTAAGTC